AGCTCTGAGAGGTGAAGTCACTTGCTTAAGGTCCCACAGCTGATTAATGGGGAGGCCAAGATATAAACCTAAGTGGATGTGATTGCAGGCTTTGCTCCTCTTGGAGACTATCCATCATCGGTATCAGCATCGCTTCATCTAGTGGTGCCTGATCACTGATCATCGTGAGAGGCAAGCTAAGGCTAATGATCTTCAGGCTTGGGATGGGAAGCTCAGAGCAGAAGAGAAACTGTTCACCCAAGGCCGTGTACTGAAGACACACTGTAGCTTGAGCCCAACAATCCACGGTCCATGTGACCCCTAGGAGGCAGAGCTGAGGCGGGGGTCCACTAAGCCAGGCTGGGAGGGGAGGGACGGGGACCACTGGATGGCCCCAGAGAGGAGTGGGTTGCGGCAGGGATTTGGGGAGACAGGTCACAGAGCACCCCCACAGCTTCTCTCTCCCCTGAGACCAGCAGTGCTCCTCGAAATTGCTTCCCTCCTTTCTGTCTCCTGGACATGCTCGGCGTGACCTCTGCCTGCTCCCCAGGCCTCTCTCCCCCACATTTCAGGCTAGCTCTCTTCATGCCTCCCCTCCCCCAGGACTAGGGGTCTTTCCAGGGGAGCAGGTGGCTGCTTGTCTACCCTGTGGTACCGCCCTGCTCATCTCAGTCAGTGAGCAGGGTTGCTGCTCCAACTGCAGAAGGCCAAGTCATTATGGAAAACAGACCAGGTGCCTTGGCACCCGTGGCAGGGCCTGGCAGGACTCCTAAGCCAGAGTGGGTGGGCAGGCAATCACAGCGGAGCAGGCAAAGGCTGGCCAAGCCAGGCCGTGGAGGATAGCCTCTGTGGAGCTCTGAAAAATCCAGCGGCCAGGCTGCCTTCCTTCCTGTGGACTGGGGTCCAGGTGTCAGGATTTGGTGGTGGTGAAACTGGGGATTGAATTTGGGGGCCTCACGGTTGCTAAGCAGGTGCTCTACCACTTGAACCATGCCTCAGCCACCTTTGGGGCTAAGCTCTCTATACTCAGGCAGGCCTGGACTACAGATCCTCCTATTTGTGCCTCCCTGTGGCACTGGCTGAGGAGGACAGTCACAGGCCGCAGTGCCTAGTCATTCTGGGGACTCTGCGTGTGTGTGGAAGCCTGAAGCCAGCCATGTTCCCTACACCTTGCCTGGGAAAGAGCAAGCCATGCACACTTGGCTGGCTCCCTTTCTCCAGGGTTCCAGCACTGGCGATCGCCAATGGGTCCCTGGAAGCCTATGCCCAGGTCAGCTGTCAGAGCAGCTGCGGGGGTGGGGGGACGGCGGACAGGGTGGGCAGGCAGCGGGGTGCTCCTCCAGGCTGACTCCCAGCACCCCATCTACTCCTAGTAAAGAAAGCGCTGTCTCTAACCAACCGCCATGCGGCCCTGACTCCCAGGGGCCTCTCAGGGAGACATCAACCCACCAGGAGTCTTGTGCTGCTTCTATCTCCCTCCTTCCTTCCCTCCCTCCCTCCTTCTCCTGTCCTTCTTCTCTCCCTCCCTCCTTCTCCCTTCCCTTCCTCCTTCTCCCTTCCCTTCCTCCTGTTCTCCCTCCTTCCTTCCCCTCCTCCTCTCTCCCCCTCCCTCCATTTCCTCCCTTCTCCCTCTATAGCCAAACTCTACTTAAATTAATCTCCCAGAATGTTCTGGAAGCCTCTGGATCGTGTGTTATACCACTGAAAACCAACTTTCCCCTCTCTTCCTTTTTTGAAGCTTGAATCACTGAAGCCACCTGTGGAGAGCGGTCTTCCTCCTCCCTTCGCCCAGGGAAAGCCCAGCCCACAGGCTCATTACCGGCTTGGCCTAGGGATTAAAATGCCCATCAAGCTGACTTGTGTTAGGAAGTGTTTGGAAACCCAGGCCTGGGCTGGGCTTCAGATCAGCAGGCTAGAGGTGAGAGCTCCTTTTCTCAGTCACCAAATCATGCCAGTTAGAATTTCAGGGACTTTATACTCAAGAACAGGGCAGCTCAGCCTAGATGGCTACCACCTATTTCTGCCTTCCAAGTAGCTGGTGTTACAGGTGTGAACCAGTGTGCCTGGCTCACCAACAGCACTTTTTTTTTTTGTCAGTTGTGGGGCTTGAACTCAGAGCTTGGGTGCTGTCTCTGAGCTCTTCTGCTCAAGGCTAGTGCTCTACCACTTTGAGCCACAGCTCGCTTCTGGGTTTTTGGTGGTTCACTGGAGATAAGAGTCCCATGGACTTTTGCTGCCTCTGCTGGTTTTGAACCATGATCCTCAGATCCCAGCCTCCTGAGTAGCTAGGATTACAGGCGTGAGCCGCTGGCACCTGGCTTCTCAAATAGCTCTGGAAAAGGCCAAATCCTCTCCATGTGGGTAATTTTGTTCTTGCCAAGGGGGTAACAAAAAGTGTCTGTGGGGTATGTGTGGGGAGGAGAGGAGAGAGATACACACCAGAATGCCAAAGGCAGTGACTTCTGGGAGGAAGGACTGGGAAGGAGAGGAGGAAGGGAGGAAGGTGTCCTGAGGCCGTTGTTATAAAGTGCCTTTTTCTGTGCGAGGCAGAAAGCTCAGCACTGCCTCGGTGTTGCTCTCATTTAATCTACTTAAGCAAGAGGCTCTTGTTTATTATTCCCACTTCCTGGCACCCGGATCTTGCCCAGGGCCACCAAGGCAGAGGAGGTGGAGTCAGGACCCAGGCTGGCTCCCCGCCCCCACTCTTCTGCTCTGCTCTTTGTCTCTGTGCACCTTGCTGTGTGTCACTCAGCCACAACCAACATCAGCCATGGTGGTCCTAAAGTTTGGGGGGGGGGGAGATGTATGCAACTGTTAGGGCTTCCCAAATGTGCTCTCAGACACAACAGGAACTCCTTGGTGTCTAGGAAGACTGGGAGATAGCCAGTTCACGCTGTGACCTGTGTTGGTTCATACAGTCCCGCTGCCCGCCTTGCCCGCCATTTAAGGATTCTGTACTCGCTGTCTTGTCCTAGAAGCATGGAGCGTGGCCCTGGGCTGTGTGTAACAGGATCCGGAGAGCAGCTGTCACAGCCTGCCAGGATCCCTGTGCCCACACGGGAAGGTGTCCTCTGATGGGAAGCAGACTCTGCGGGCGACAGGCCCTGAGAGAGTCCAGAACCATCCAGAGATGGAGGGGCCTGCTTGGTGGAAGTGACAAGACACTGTCAGTTCATCAGAAGACGCCTCAGCCATGGCTCAGGTTAGTGGCAGGCCAGGGACCAGGAGTCTAGACCCTGTCCACAGAGGACAGTTCCAGGTGCCCTGACATGGGACTGTTCAGAGCGTCCTGTTGGGTGCCCATGGACAGCAGTGCTTGAAGAAACCCAGGATGGTGACACTGAGTGGACAGGGTGGGTGATGGTGAGGATTAGCAATGATACACAGGAGATACCTGCCATGATTAGGTCACATGACAGGATAACCAGTTACTCCCGTCGTGGGGGCAGTTTCTAAGATGTCTCCCTTCACCCTCACCTCCCACTACCCACGCTCTTGATAGATCCCTTCCTCCTGAGCACTGGCTGGACGGAGATGTCAGCTGGCTCTCCACACTGCTGTGAGTGACAAGGCACCCAAGAGAAGCAACTTAACAGAGGAAGGACTGATCTTTGGCTCATGGTTTGGTCTAGGTTTGCCTGGACACACACGTATGTGGGAAGAACAACATGGTGGTGAGAGTGGTGTGCGGTGGAGGCTGTTCACCTCATGGTGGACAGGAAGGAGAGAGGGAAAGGAAGAGGGAGGGGCTGGGGGAGGAGCCAGGAAGACAGAGAGGGAGAGAGACAGGAAGGAGCCAGGGACAAGATGCTCTGAAGGACCCACCCCCTCAGTGATCTACTTCCTCCAGCTGGGCCCCACTTCCAGGAGTTTTCACCCCCTCCCAAAATAGTGCCATCAGCTGGAGACCAAGCGTATGACATGTAACCCTTTTGCCGATACACTTTATACCCAAACCATCACACCCAGTGAGTTACTTCAAATGAGCAGAATAGGGGGAAAAGAATGATAGAAGGTCATTTCTGATACTAGATTACAAAACGACCCTTTCTTGCCCTCTCTTGTTCCCATGGTTGACCAAACAGGTAGAAATTACCTGTCATCCCATGAAGCAGCCTGGGGTTGGAGGGGGGGCGGCGCAAGGAATCAAGGAAGGTCATTAAAAGCCACGAATCAAAAAGAACTGAGATGACCCACTTCCTGGTCCACAGCTTCCAAAGTTTCTGCCAACAGCTACACAAGAGAGCTTACAAACAGCTCCTCCCAATATGAGTCTTCAAATGAGGCTGCAGCCCCTAGCCAACACCTTCACAGGAACCTGGTCAGAGATACGCAGCCACAACCACACAGCAATGCTATGGCTAGGCTCCTAAGCCACAGGCAATATGAGAGCAAATGCGTATTGATTTAAGACACTGCATTGTAGGGTGATTTGTTACTCAAGTGATAGACAACTAAAGCATCCTGAAAACAAAGGACAACATGGACAACCTACCAATTCTACCAGACAGTGGCACATGATGGCTCTACTTAAGTATCATGAATTCTTTTCTGAGTGAGGTAACCCTGTTTTCTCATGTGCGTCTATTAAACTAAGCAACTTCAATTATCTTCATCACCACTACCATCATCATCATCACCCCCACTATCATCACCATCGTCATAGCTGACCAGATAGTCAGTTCTTGCTACCCAGCTGGGACTATTTCATCATGGTACAGAACACTTACTGTTCACATTTTATAGAGAGGGAAACCGAGGCTCTGAAGGCGTGAACTTGCCAAAGCCCTCAGTCACTATGAAGCAACTGTGGGAAATCTAGCTCAAGAGTTAAGATGTGTAGCAACTTTGCTCCTATGGCTCTGTGAGTCTTGCACAAATTCACAGATGGTGAGTAGACTCAACCCCAGGTAGCTGGACATCAGACGTGAGGTTCTCAGCTGTCTAGAAGCTTCTCTTCTCTAGAGCAATGAGCTGCACGTACTTCACCTGGGCCGATGAGGGACTAGAACGCTGCCTACCTGTGAACACCAGGCTGGCATTCTCCAGTTCTTCCTGGGGAACTTTGAAGCTGAAGGACTCATTGTAGAAAGGATCAATGGTACCTCTTAAGAAGGAGGTCTTCTTGGTTTTCACCAGCTTCAGTCCATGTACCAGCTGGACTTTCACAAATGGGTCTAAGAAAATGGACACAGCGGTACAGGGTATTGGAAACTGTGACACCCGATATATCCACCATTCATTCATTCAACTTCCCAACCCTTCCCTCTCTCTCCACCTGGCCATTCCTCCCTTCAACTCCCTATCTCTGCTTCTTCTCACCCATCTAGTCTTCTCTCCATCCAGCCATTCAACCCTCCTTACATCTATCTCTCAGTCCATCTCTCCATCTCTCCACCCATCCATCTCTCCATCCATCCATCCATCCATCCATCCATCCATCCATCCATCCATCCATCCATCCATCCATCCATTCATCTCTCCATTTCCCATCCACCTGTCAAGTCACTAGCCCACTCAGCATTTATCATCTATCCTCCTAAAGTGTTTGGAAAGACAAGGGGGTGGGGTGGGTAGAATCAAGACAGAAAAGCCACATGTCCCAAACCCATGCAGATGCACAGACGTCCCATTAAGGGAGAAGAGGGGAGGGCAGGAGGGAAGCACACTGTACCTGAACCTTGGCTCACATCTGTCTGAAGAAGCTGCTTGGCTCGAATGATGTCAACGTTCAGTCTTCCAGCACTTGGGAGATAATTCAGAGACAGAAGCAGCTCCCCCAGCTCCACTTCATTCTGCAGAGAATGAAAATGGTCAGAAAGCTGCAGTTAGCTTTTATCCCTCTGGCACCCACCAGGCAGGACGCCGATTCCAGCAGCCCACAAATGGTTGCTGCGGGCAGGGAACTAGGGGACAAGGGAGCCTTCTTCTAGCTTTCCAACTAGTTTCTTCATTCTGTCTCAGGAAAGTTGTTAGCACGGCGCCTATCCTAGCTACTCAGGAGGCTGAGATCTGAGGATCACGGTTCAAGGCCAGACGGGGCAGGAAAGTCTGTGAGATTCTTATCTCCAATAAACTACCAGAAAACCAGAAGTGGCGCTGTGGCTCAAGGGTGGAGCACTCGCCTTGAGATAAGAGCTGAGGGACAGCGCCCAGGCCCAGAGTTCAAGCCCCATGACAGACAAAAATAAAAATAAAAAAATTCAGTCTCAGGAGAGTTGATATTCCCCCCAGCTCTTAGAAGACTTAAAAGTCACAGCCACAATGAAAGTGTGGGTCACAGAAGAATAAGTGTAATATGCCGTCTGTAAGCTAATCGCTTTGTGTGCAATAACTGCTGTAGGTGCTATAATGAGCCTGTGATGTATTTGTATATGAACTCAGGGTAACAGATGAGGAGACTGAGGCCCAGGGCGGGTTAAATAACACATCCAAGGCAACCCAGCTAAGAATTGGCAGAGCTAGCCTTCAGACCTGATCTACAACAGGACCCAGGCTTCTCGCATTACCATGGCAACGCTTGGCAAGGGCCTTTCCTATAGAACAGTAGGGTTTTCTTGAATGCCAACTCTATCCACCAGGAAAGAGCTGTCAGTACTCAAGTGCATGATATCAAACTGCCAAAGTGCTAGAACCCAGGAGTCCTTACTTTTCTTTTTTTTTTTGTCGGTCGTGGGGCTTGAACTCTGGGCCTGGGCGCTGTCCCTCAGCTCTTCAGCTCAAGGCGAGCGCTCTACCACTTGAGCTACAGCGCCACTTCCAGTTTTCTGGTGGTTTATTGGAGATAGGAATCTCACGGTCTCTCCTGCCCGGGCTGGCTTTGAACCACGATCCTCAGATCTCAGCCTCCTGAGTAGCTAGGATTACAGGCGTGAGCCACCAGCGCCCGGCTTACTTTTCTTTTTTGTTGTGGTTGTCGGTGGTGGGGCTTGAACTCAGGGCCTGGGAGCATGCTACCACATTGAGCTACAACTCCACTTCCAGTTTTCTGGTGGGTAATTGCAGTTAAAAGTTTCACAGGGGAGGGAAGAGATGGTAGGGGGAAAACAAAGGAGGGGGTAACAATGCTCTATAGGAAATGTACTCATTACCTTATTCATGTAACTGTAACCCCTTTAAACAGTATCTTTACAGTAAAAATATATTTTAAAAAAAGTCGCACTTTCCTGCCCAGACTGGCTTCAAATGGTGATCCTCAGATCTCAACCTCCTAAGTAGCTAGGATTCCAGGCAAAAGCCACCAGCCCCTCACCTCTGTGTTCCTTTTAACATCATTGTAGAAAATAAAACCATTTTAAATAAATAGACTGGCATAACCAATCTCCATCCCCACTTGACCCAATTGCAACAGTATCAACATTCTGTCAAATGATATTTCTTCAGGATGAGCCTCTAGTGGATCTGGACATTAACTCCAATGTTCCATGGTAGGGGGTGATTATGATCAAAGAACTTTGTCTGTGTGTACGAAAACAGAATAATGAAGCCTCTTAAAACTGCTTTAAAACAGAGGAGGTAAATTGACCAAACTTCATTACACGCATTTATAGAAATATCACAATGAAGTCTTTCTGGGCTACTAGTATACATTAATAAGAAAAACATCTGAGCCAGGAGCCGGTGGCTCACACCTGTAATCCTAGCTACTCAGGAGGCTGAGATCTGAGGATCATGGTTCAAAGCCAACCCGTGCAGGAAAATCTGTGAGACTCTTATCTCCAATTAACAACCAGAAAAATGGAAGTGGCGCTATGGCTCACGTGGTAGAGCGCTCGCCTTGAGCCCAAGAGCTGAGGGACAACGCCCAGGCCCAGAGTTCAAGCCCCATGACCGATCCCTCCCGCCCAAAAACAAAATCTGGAAAACTCAGTCAGAAGGAAGAAAAGCACATGGAACCACTCACCCCCCCCCCCATACCCTCACTCAGCTTCAAAAACCATTTCATGGTCTACCTCCATTAACCTATACCTTCATTCAATCCCATACACTACTTCCTCCTAGACATCAGATTATTTTATCTGCAATATTTCAGTGTATATATCTCCAAAGAATAAGATCATCCATCTCCTCCACCCACCCAAATGTTCATCTGTTCATTCATCCTCTCATCCATCCCCCATCCACCCATTCAACTATCTACAGATCCACACACCCATCTCTCTCCACCCATTGACCTATCCATCCATTAATCTATTCATTCATCCATTTACCCATCCATCCACCTGCCCATTCAGCTCACCCACCATCCATCCATCCATTCACCCATCAAGCCTTGAATAGGTATGCATGCATACATATATCTACCAACCCAACTCTTCTATCATATCAGCAAATTATTGCCAAATGGCAGCTCTGGAATAATGCTTGGCATGAAGTAAATAGTCAATAAACATTCGTTGACAGGATGAGCAGTCAAACCAAAAGATAACCAATACGGGAGCAAGTTAGTCCCCAAACAAGAAACAGTGTCCCACATTAACTCAGGGCTGTGAATTGGCAACTTACAGATGTGTTTTGTGTGGCCTGCATCATGCTTAAACAGATAATTACTCTTAATTAGAATGTAATTCAAGAGTCAAGATGTTTCACATTTTGAAAACAATCTGGATTTGTTGCCTTGTTTGAAAACCAGGAAGGCAATGTTGGGTTTATGTTCCCACCTGACAACTGACAAAGATTCATTGCTTGGCTAAGCTTCAGTCAGGTGTGGAACCTTCTTCTAGGCCCACCTGTACACTTTCCTGTGCAATCCAGGTTTAGCAAGAACTCTGCTCAGTCAGCTTAGTAAGAATGCTTACCCATGATGTCTGCTCACCCTGAGTAATTGAGGCAGGCCTCTCCTTCTCCTCTCCTCCCTAACTCGCCCTCCCTGCCCCCAGTGATGTCTGCTCATCCTGGCCTGGCTTCAGGAAGAATCCCATAAGCTCAGTCTAGCAGAATCCCCACCCCCCACTTCACCCCTCCTGCTTCCTCTTAGTCATTTGGATCTACTGAGCCCCGGTTGCCTCTTGTTCTGGACGCTGGCTTCCCCAGGCCACATTTGGAGTGGAGCGCCAGCCCTCCCCCTGGCAAAATCCCATTGCCTTAGTCCTCATACCATACCCTGACGACAGTCTGATCACCACGCTTTAACATGATTCATCTAATTAGTTTTTTTCTTCAACAGAGAAATAGATACTATTGCTAGAATCATTTGATAGTGGAGGAAACAGTGTGGCGGCGTGCACGCCTGTAATCTCAGCATTGAGGAGGTTGAGCGAGGAGGATCTGAACTTCAAGGGACAAACTGGACTACATGGTAAGACCCTGCCTCAAACAATACAAAACCGAAAAAGTCATTGAGGAGCCCGGAGTCATCAAGAGAATAGTCTCAGGAGTGTTCATACACTGTTCTTCCTCTCTATAATGTCGCTCTTTTCCTGGGCTAGTGAGCTGTGGTTCCAGCCCTCTCTTGCAATGCTGGACAGCAGCAGTGAGCTCAGCTCCCAGGTAACTACAATCACAGAACTTGGCAGGTGAGGTGGTGTGCTAGGCAGCTTTCTATGCCTGTAATAAAATGACTGCAGTTGTCAGCTCACAGAAAGAAAAGGCTTGTGTTGGTTCACAGTTAGGGAGTCTTCTTTCCATCATGGATAGTCTCTGTGCTATAGCTGGGAGGTGAAAGAGAAAAGAGGAAGGCCCTAGAATTCCTTCCAGGGCATGGTCCTGAGGATCTCTTAGAAGACCTCATCCCTTAAAGACACCACCACCTCTCCCAAATAGTGCCATGTTGGGGACTCAGCCTTTACCACACAGACTATTGATGCAGCATGAAGATCAAAGCCATAGCGGGTGATTAAATCCACTTTTGCCTGAGGGCATTTTCCATTTATGACAGAACAGGCCTGCACCTGTCTTCCTAGTCTCTGAATCCAGGTGACCCTGAACATGCCAGTCCCAGAGGGGACCTCCGCGTGACATTCTGTCTCCCGCTCTGTCCAGCCTCCAGAGGCTCAGACTGATATGGCAGGAGGAACAGGGGGCGGGTACCACGGCTCCCCACTGAGGAGGTGTCACCAATAAATAAGCCTTGTTTCCTTTTTTATAAGAGCCTGATGAGCTTAATTTGGTGGAACCACGTGGGTTGGCCCCCAGGAGAACCAAAATAGACTGTCTGTAAATTACTCAAATGAATCCCGAAGCCACTGGGCAGCCAGCTCTAAAGCTGCTCCGACTCCTCCCAGCAAAGCCCCTGGCCCCTGCAGCTCTTCAATACAGCTCAAATCTAATCTGGGACCAAAGGCATTGTTCTGGGGAAAACAAGAGATTGGCTCTCCTGCCAGCAGGCTCCCTCTGCCTGGGCAGAGGGCTTCAGAGGTGGGCACACACCAACTTCTACTGGAGCGCAAAGCCAGCTGTCCATGCTCAACTGCTACCCCTGTCCACACCTGCTGGGGAAACCCTTTGGTCTCTTCATTTACCAAACACACACAATGGGAATGGGTGTTTAAATAAAGAAAACTCAACCCACAATCTAAGCCTGCATTTCCCACACTTTTGTCAGATGCTTGTTTGCTTGTCTTCCTTCCTTCCTTCCTTCCTTCCTCCCTCCCTCCCTCCCGCCCTCCTTCCTTCCTCCTTTCCTTCCCTCCTTCCTTCCTTCCCTCTTTCCTTCTTTTTCTCTTTCCCTCCTTCCCTCCCTCCCTCTCTCTCTCTCTTTCTTTCTTTCCTTCTTTCTTTCCTATCTTTCTTTTTGTATTTCCCCCATTTTTGTCAATATGCCATCACAGATTTGCAAAATAGTATGACAACACACATTATTTAGTGCCACAGCTGCGGCTTAACTGTATCACATACTTCATATGTACTATAAATGTGTATGTACACACACACACACACACACACACACACACACACACACCTCTAAATGGGCTAATCCACAATAGTTATGAGAATTTAGTGGAACAGAAAAAAATTTCACACTAGTATTTTTTAATAGATTATACATGGAAATGATTCTATGAGACAATGTTCAACAAATTTTACTTCTTTCTTTTTTCTTTTCTTTTCTTTCTTTTTTTTTTTGTTGTTGTTGGTGGTGGTCATGGAACTTGAACTCAGGGCCTTGGTACTATCCCTGAGCTTTTTTGCTCAAGGCTAGCACCTTACCACTTTAAACCACAGCTCCAGTTCCAATTTTCTGGTGGAGATAAGAGTCTCACAGACTTTCCTGCTCAGGCTGGCTTTGAACCGTGATCCTCAGATCTCAGCCTCCTGAGTAGCTAAGATCATAGATGTGAGCCACAGTGCCCAGCTTCTTTTGAGTCTTTTATGGAAGATGCTCCCAAATCTGAATTTCTCTTACACAGTACTGTTCTGAAGAGAAATCCAGAGTTGTGCTCAAGAGTAGCTCAAAGTAGTTCCATTCCCCTCTCCACCCCCCCCCCCCCCCCCCCCCCCCCCCCCCGCCACCAGCTGTGTCAATTTCATGGCCAGGAAAGATTCCTGTGAAATCATTGGGGAATGACTGTTACATTATAGCAGTGAGTTGACACGGAGCCAGGCCTTGGCCCTTACAGGGTGTGGGCACACCTCAGGAATTGTCAGCCGACAGTAGAGACAACCCTTGATTGTTGAACTTGGTCTTTCCTGCCATTTTGCAAAGAAAGAAGCCGAGCCTGACTCCAATCCAGGGGGTCGAAGGCAAAATCACTGGCTCTGGGGCTTGCATGTAGACTCCTTCTATAGCTAATGCCAAGACAAGGCCTTGGGAACGGCCCCAAACTTCCTAGGCCTCAGTTTCTCTAAGTCGGAGACCGTAAGGGTCTGGGAGTGGTTTCCAAACTTAAGTGTCACCACTGACAACACCGACTTAAGTGGCTGATTGGAATCAGCCAGGATCCCATTGGCTTTGCCAAATTGCTTGTACTCTGAGCCAGGGCTTGCTGGTGTATGCTCCTCCCAGGACAGGCCAGGAAAATAAGGCTGGGAGAGGAACAGGAATCACCTCAGCCCACGCCTCTAGTGAGTGGCAAAGCTAGGACTTGAACCTAGGTCGGTGTGGCTCGCAGGTCTGTATTCTTAGCCATCGCCAGTTCATAACCACTGTGGATTGTAAAGCAGGGGCGCTCGTAGCGAGACCCGCCTGGAAGTCAGGCAACCAAACTCTCTAATCTTGATTCTGCCACTGGGAGCTGGGTGACATGGACAAGCCACTCAACCTCTCTGTGCTTTTTTTTTTTTTTTAAATCTTCACAAGAGAGAAGTTGATCCGAGTTGTTTCTTGTCCCTCTCCTCGTTCACGTTGTAACTCGCCACGTAACAGCTCACGTGGGTGTCTAAAGCGTGAAATCCATGTTGACTTAAAGAAGAGAGGAACAAGGAAGACGCTGTGGAAAGAAACTTGGAGTCCCTGGCTGCTTTGTTAAAGGCTCTGGCCTGGCTCCAGTGCTGGCTCTCGGGCCTGGCTGGCTGACAGAACTGAACAGAGACTGGAAGGAGGCAGAGGCTGACGGCAGCAAGGGGGTAAGTTAAAGCAGAGACATCATTAAAACCTGCCTTCCCAGGGCTCAGCCATGACAGTGCCCGTGGGGGAAACGATTGATTTCAACATCTAAACCATGGCCAGAGGTGTCTGTATATCCGGCTGGTTTTAGCAGCCAGCTGAGAAGGCAGGCCGGGGACCATCCGGAACTGCAGGGGGCTACCAAGTAGACCGCTAAGCCAGCAGCGGTCTCCAAGCCTCTCCACCAAGTGATTTCCGCTTTCAAAACAAGCCCCAGGGGCTGGGAAGGTGGCTTAGTGGTAGACTGCTTGCCTAGCATGCATGAGGTCTTGGGTTCGATTCCTCACTACCACATAGATAAACAAAAATAATAAAATTGCCTGGCACTGGTGGCTCAAGCCTATAATCCTAGCTACTCAGGAGGCTGAGAGCTGATTATCACAGTCCAGTGCCAGCCCAGCAAAAAGGTCCCCATGAGACACTTATCTCCAATTAACTACATAAAAACTGGAAGTGGCACTGTGGCTCAAGTGGTAGAGTGCTAGCCTTGAGCAAAAGAGCTCAGGGATAGTGCCAGGCACTGAGTTCAAGCCCCACGATTGACACAAAAAGATAAAATAAACTAAAACAAGCCCCAGAAAGGCAAATGTGCATGACACCCAACATTCATCCCAACCTATAGAATGCACCTCACTGCAAGCTGTGGGTGCTGGGTAATAATGATGACAGCCTGGTCTGGCCAGATGTACTCCTGTGTGTGTGTGTGTGTGTGTGTGTGTGTGTGTGCAAGTGTCCAAGAGAAAACTCTGATCTCCTTCTTGATTCTTTTGTGAGCCTTTAAAACAGAAGATTTGAAAAACTAATTCAGCTCCTATCTACTGTCTGCTCACTGCATAACTGAGACAGCAGAATTTGCATTGGTGACTCACGCCTGTCATCCTAGCTGCTCAGGAGACTGAGATCTGAGAATCATACTTCAAAGCCAGCCTGGGTAAGAGACATGATACTCTCATCTCCAGTTAACCACCAAAAAAAACCCTGAAAATGGAGCTGTGGCTTTTTTAGTAAAACAGCAAAGGAACAGTGCCCAGGCTCTGAGTTCAAGCCTCAGTATTCTCTCTCTCTCTCTCTCTCTCTCTCTCTCTCACACACACACACACACACACACACACACACAGATACACCACAAATCTGTGAGACTCCATCTCCAATTAACCAGCAAAAAGCAGAGATGGGGTGTGGCTCAAGAGGAAGAGCACCAGCCAAGCACACAAGCTGAATGAGAATGTAAGGCCCAGAGTTCAAGCCCCAATACTGCCAAATAACAACAACAACAACAATAATAATAACTTGCCGAGCATGCACAAAGCCCTGGTTCCATCCCTAGAACTGGAAAAAAAGAAAAAAAGAAATGAAAAAAGCTAATGCTCTATACACACTATTATTCCACTCAAAAAGCTTCTACTGAGTCCTCCAAAGTGCGGCAGACCCTGAGAATAAATGACAACTCGGGCTGGCTTGGCTCCTCTGGGATGGTGGGGACATTTCCTGTTGACCCTGGAACTCAGGACCAGGTCCAAAGCTGGAAGCTATGGAGCTGTAGCAAGAAGCCAGCAACAAGTGAGGTCCACCATCTCTCCTGGGGTTTGTGAGAGGTGGAGGCCTAGCCCCTTCCCTGTCCCAGAGGCATGGGGGTGGGGGTGGGAAGGGACGGACACCTCCTGAGTGGGTGCCCCTTCATTGGTTTAAACTCCAGGTCTCAAGCTCAAGCTCTCATTTGACTTGTTTTTTTCTCTTTTCTTTTCATTTTAATGGCTGATGCTCATGAGCTTTTGTGCCTAGACTGGCCTCTAACCTTGATCCTCAAATCTCAGCCTCCTGAGCAGGTAGGATTACAAGCATGACCCAAGGTCACTTGGCCAAAATGCTATTCTTAGGAGAATAACAGATGAAGAACATTCCAAAATCTTTTCAATATTAAAACAACACAACACAACACATAGGATCCAGGCACAGGTGGCTCACGCCTCTACTCCTAGCTACTCAGGAGGCTGAGATCTGAGGATCGTGGTTCGAAGCCAGCCTGTGTAGGAAAGTCCAGGAGACTCTTATCTCCAATGAACCACCAGAAAACCAGAATCAGTGCTGTGGCTCAAAGTGGTAGAGTGCTTGCCTTGAGCAAAAGAGCTCAGGGACAGCGCACAGGCCCAGAGTTCAAGCCCTACGCAAAAACAACCACCACAACAACAGTGAGATACCCTCAAATATGAAAATCACAAAGTAACCCTTGTATGAAGCACCCTCACCTGCGAACTGGGGATGAGTGCCTTCCACCAATGCCCGCCCTTGACCAGGTCCACATCGCACAGGGGTACGGACACTTTCCCGATGACACAGTGGCGGGAAAACTTATCAAAATCCAGGGCCGTGAGGAGCAGGGTCCTCCGCTGGGCTTCCAGGAAGGGGATGTCGAAGGTGTACCGCTCCTCGAACACGGGGTTTTGGGTCTTGCGTTTGACCCCCGTCTGCTTGGAGTTCTTCTGGTCGGGCAGGAGGCAGATCTTAACGTAGGGGTTGGAGTGGGCCATGTCCTGGCGAGATCCGTCGTGGGAGATGGGGAGAGGCAGGTCCCGGGCCTCGATCACCCGCACGGTGAGGTGGTTGTGCAGAAGGTCATACTGCGTGCTGAAGTGGAGTTTCCCCAGCTGGTACTTGGACAGGATCTCCTCATCTGTCAGCGAGTCCATATCATCCCCGCCACCATCGCCGCCACCGCTGGAGTCCAGGGAGTACAGGCGGGGCTCGAACTTGCGGAAGTAATCATCCGGGGTGTAAGTCCGGCGGAGCACCGAGGGCTGGATGGGTTCCTTCTTGGCGCTGAGCACCCCAAACTCGATGGGTTTGATGTCGATGAGTGGGGAGCTTGGGCGTCTGGAATCCAGATCTACACGATGATCACAGAAACAGCCATGAGGACCCCGGACCCCGGTGACTCACGCCTGTCATCCTAGCCACTCAGGAGGCTGCTGAGATCTGAGGATCTAGGTTTGAAGCCAGCCCGGGCAGGAAAGTCCATGAGACTCTTATTTCCACTTAACCACCAAAAAGACAAAAATGGAGGTGCGGTTTAAGTGGTAGAGTGGCAGCCTCAAGTGAAAAAGCTCAGGGACAGCACCCGGGCCTGCCAGAGGGTGATTTGGGTTTTGTCCAATCCTCTGTACCCAGCCACTGACACAGGCCCAGAGCCCTCGAGGTCCCCCAAATGGGCAAGCCCCACTCTGTAACACAGTAACCCTTAAATGATCAATTCAATTGACTCAGAAAACCTAATCAGCCGGGCGCTGATCAGGAAGGAGGCTGAGATCTGAGGATCATGGTTCAAAGTCAGCCTGGGCAGGAAAGTCCATGAAACTCTTATCTCCGATAAACCACCAGAAAACCAGAATTGCACTGTGGCTCTTCAGCTCAAGGCTGAAGAGCTGAGGAACAGCGCCCAGGCCCAGAGTTCAAACCCCATGAGCAAAAACAACAAAGGAAAGAAAAGAAAGAAAAAAAACAACCTGATCAAACTTGTGATCAGTGGAAGTGGCCATGTCCCACCAAACTCAGTGGGACAGGTGAAGTGTGAGCCCATCCTCTGCCATATTGTCATCTCTGCTGCCCTGGGCTCTAGACGCCACCTCCCTCTGCCTCCTCCACAACAGCCCCGCCCTTGCCATTTCTGCTCCAGGACACGGAGGGGTGTCTGGGAAGGCCAGTCTCGACGCCCACCCTCCCCGAGATGGACTCACTGGAAATCCTCCTGGTCAAGCTGTATGTGGATCGGGATGTGTCAGACGAGGAGCGGCGCCCATCGGGGGAATTGGTCCGTGGGGTCAGCAGGACGTCGCTGGCTGTGTGGACAGAGTCGCCATCTTTGTCACTGCTCCGGCTGGCCACCCTGCAGGAGGGGGACAAGATTCCGGTGGTTGTTGAAGAACCCTCAGGGGTCCCCCCTGTGTCTCCCTGCTAGTTCATCTGTTATCTGCCCTGCTCACAGACTAGAGAAGGAAGCCAGCAGAGGTGCAAGCTGAGCGCAGGGCTCTGCAGCCACAGATAGACCAGCTCTCTCACCTGCTTCACACCTCTTGCAATGAGACAGCCTTGAACGAGTGTTGTATACAGAAACCCTCAACAATGCATTGATCTTTGCACAAAATAGGAACTGTGGCAAAGGGTTTATTCCCCAACATAGAACACTCTGGCAAACACTGGTGTCATTTCAGGCTTGGGTATGTATGGGGGTTCATGCTTGTAATCTCAGTTCCAGAGGGAAGTCCATGAGACTCTTCTTTCCAATGAACCACCAGAAAACCAGAAGTGGCTCTGTGGCTCAAAGTGGTAGAGTCAAAGCCTGGAGTAAAAGAGCTCAGGGACAGTGCCCAAGCCTGAGTTCAAGCCCCACTACACACCAAAAGAAAAAAGAAGGAAAAAAAAAGCCCTCTATCCCAAGCCAGGAGTGGTGCTGTATGCATGTAATCCCAGCACTTTGAGGTCGAGGCAGGAGAGTCTCAGATTGAGATTAGCATGGGCTCTACAGGTGTCTCAACACACACACACACACACAGAAATACACAAAAAGATAGATAGATAGATAGATAGATAGATAGGCAGATGGATAGGCAGATGACATATATAGATAGATGATAAATATGCTAAAGAAAGATAGATGATATAGAATGGGTGGATAGATAGAGACGATGGATTGATGATCGGATGCACAGACTGATACTATATCTAGGTGAGGTGAGAGAGAGAGAGAGAGAGAGAGAGAGATGGATGACTACGGCAAGCCTCCAGCTGTGCAGGGTGCCGGGGGGAGTCTGGCAATGGGGTGGAAGATGGTGCTCTAAGGCCTTGATCCTTAATTGACGCAGATTTCTTCCTTCCCTGCTTGCATTGCGCATCAGCCTGACATTTAAGGCTGCAGGCAAACTCAGCTTTGAGTTCCAGGAGGTCTTTGGATCATCTTACACGATGAGAGGGTCAGATGGCCGCCCAGTGCCCTGCAGGGTCAGGACAAGAGGACACTGCCAGAAGCGGGGGAACTCACAGGCTTCCCGCTCCCCCGCTGCCGGCAAGGGGAGGGGGGACTTGGAGGGCCGTGGCTATGGGTCAAATCACTGCAGTGTCTCTCCTCTGCCCCTTGAACAAAAGCAGCCACCCTCTCTTTGGTGGGCTGGCCCAGATGCCATGACCCTGGAACCTGTCCTTCTGGGTAGCCCTGCTTCCCAGCTCCCTCCCTTCAGTCTCTCAGACCCAGCTGCCCACGCGTCCACCCCAGCCCCCGCTGCCCTTCCCCCAGCCACCAAGCCCCTGTCCTCTGCCAGGCGCCAGCCCTCACACCTGTGAAGCTCCTCCCCGAGAGGGTCTGGCTACCAGGACACCTGCTCAGAGGGCCAAGGACCCCTCCTGGCCGCTCACTCCTCTCTGGGACTGCTCTGCCCTTTAGCTGACACTAAGTGGTGACTCCTCTCACTAGATGGACACTGCCCAGCTGGCCCTGAGCACTCAGTCCAGGCATGGGGGAGTCTGCTGTGCCACTTTCCAAGGAAGGAAAGAAGGGAGGGAGGGAGAGGGAGAAAAAAGAAAGGAGTGGGGGGAGGGAGAGAGAGAGGAGAAGAGAGAGAAGGAGAAGGAAGGAAGGAGAAAGGAAGAGAAGAATGGAAGGAAGAAAAAATGAGGAAGAAAGGGGGAATGGAGAGGAAGGGAAGAAGGGAAAGAAGGAGGGAGAGGAGGAGGGGGACAGAAAAGGAGAAAAAAATGAAAAAAGAAAGAGCTGGGAGCTGGTGGCTCACGCCTGTAATCCTAGCTACTCAGGAGGCTGAGATCTGAGGATTGCGGTTCAGAGCCAGCTGGGGTAGGAACATCAGTGAGACTCTTATCTCCAATTAACCACCAGAAAACCAGAAGTGACGCTGTGGCTCAAGTGGTAGAGTGTTCACCTTGAGCTGAAGAACTGAGGGACAACGCCCAGGCCTAGAGTTCAAGCTCCACAACCAACAAAAAGAAAGAAAGAAAGAAAGAAAGAAAGAAAGAAAGAAAGAAAGAAAGGAAGGAAGGAAGGAAGGAAGGAAGGAAGGAAGGAAGGAAGGAAGGAAGGAAGGAAGGAAGGAAGGAAGGAAGGAAGGAGAAAAAGAAAGAGAAAAAGGAAAAGAAGAGAAGGTAGGATGGGAGGAAAGGGAGAGAAGGAGGAAGGAGGAGGGAAGGGAAGGAGGGAGTCAGGGAAGGAGGAAGAAAGGAAAAGAGAAAGGAAGGTGGGAGAGAAGGAAGGGAAAGGAAGAGAGAGAAGAAGAAAGAAGAAAAGGAGGAAAGAAGGAATGGAGGGAGGGAAGGAAGGAGGGCGTACCCTTCTTGTATGTGGTTTTTTTGTTTTGTTTTGCCAGTCCTGGGGCTTGAGCTCAGGACCTGGGCACTGTCCCTGAGCTGCTTTTGCTCAAGGCTAGCGCTCTACCACTTGAGCCACAGTGCCACTTCTGACTTTTTCTGCATATGTGGTACTGAGGAATCAAGCCCAGGGCTTCATGCATGCTAGACAAGCACTCTACCACTGAGCCCCATTCCCAGTCTCCTTTCTTGTGGTTCTTATCTGGTTCATTTTGTCCCTGTCTTTTGCCCCTGTCATGACAGACACCCCCCCCCCCCCCAACACACACACAGCAGGATCTGTATATGGCAAAGATCAAAGGAAGCAGTTGGTGGTACTCAAATCTCCACTGCCTGCCATGCCCAGCTATGGGCGCTGCCGCCGCTGGCTAGGCTAGGTATTCCCTGCAAGGCCTGTAAGAGCCTTGGGCACTGACTCATGGGCTGAACAAGTGAACCATTTCACTTCCATTCATTTTTATAAGAGGCCTCTTGGCATTGCTCCCAAAGGAGACAATCAAATTGTACAACTGGCCCCAAGCTGGCCAGCCCCAGCCCCAGGGTCCCTGTGATACAGTACATGTGACAATGCCACATCCCCAAGATCACACTCACAGCGCACACAAGGACCAGCGCATCCAACACACTGCAGAGATGAGCCAGAGGGTCCTCCACTCTGGTGCTATGGCAGGAACAGCGCCACAAGGCCCATGCACTTGACATTTCCACTGCCTGCCTGTTTGATAACACCCAACTGCCTGCCTGGTAAATAAATCTGTGGGGAACACAAGCTGCAAATCTGTTTTGTGAAGCCAGACACTGGGCACCAGTGGCTCACGCCTGTCATCCCAGTCACTCAGGAGGCTGAGATCTGAGGATTACGGTTCCAAGGCAGTGAGACGTCGGTGAGACTCTTATCTCCAATTAACCAGCAAAAAGCAAGAAGTAGAGCTGTGGCTCCAGTAGTAGAGCACCGGCCTGGAATGAAAAAGTTAAGGGAGAGCACATGATCCTGAGTTCAAGCCCTAGTATCAGTGCGTGCACGCGCACCCGCAAACACACGCACACACACAAATTGCTTTTGAATGATTTAATCTCACCTCCCCTTTACAGATTTCCCTTAACCATTTTGCATTATATCAAATACCAAAAGAAAAAAAAAATGAGATCAGTGCAGCTCAAGGGTTCAGAAAGACCTGGCTGGCCTTGGGAAAGCAGGGAGGACCTGAATGGTTGCTCACACTGAAGACTGCACAACTCTGCAGGGTGCCATTCACACTCATAGCAACCACCACCACATCGATGGTGCTGCCATTCGTGGTTACATGGGGCGCTACCCATGCTGCAGAACTCCAGCCTGCTTCTCTGCTTGTGGCAAAACCCAAACAAGAATCTCTCAAGAGGACCAAACCTCTCCAGTGCTGGTGGTTCATGCCTATAATCCTAGCAACTCAGGAGGCTGAGATCTGAGGACTGTGGTTCAAAGCCAGCCCCGGGCAGGATGGTCTGTGATACTCTACCTCCAATGAACCACTAGAAAGCCGGACATGTCTGTTGATTCAAAGTGGTAGAGCGCTGCTAGCCTTCAGTGACAGCGTCCACATCCCCAGTTCAAGCCCCACGACCAACAAAAACGAAACAAAGAAACAAAGAAACAAACAAACAAACAAAAAACAGCATCCTTAACCCAGGCTGTGACACCCAGCTTCCGGGGATCTGGTGGCAGATGGAGAGTCCCCAAATTCCTTAACTGATCTTCAAGACCTGACAGGATCTGAGCCTGCGGGGCCCATTCCCCACTTTGCCCAAGCTCAGTGCCCATTCTAGGCGTCTCCCGACAGGATCTTCCCCCTCCTGTCTGGGCACATCACTCCTACTCCGCCACAGAGCCACACCCACGACTACAGGGCCACACCCACTGGCTGGGCTTTGGAGCGTCGTCATTGGAGCATAGGAGTGACGTCACTGGGGTATAGCCACGCCCACACCCACTCCTGCTTGCTCTGTGCACCTGACTCAGGTCTGGAGAGCTTAACACACGCCAGACTAGCTTTGTCCACAGGACTGACCTCCACCCTGACTCCGGAGTGGACAGTTTCTAGCTGGGACAAGTGATCGGTACAGGCGAGTGACAGTCTTTCATAGTGGTTGTTGTTTCTCTGCAAAGCTACCATGTAAATCTCAGGCTGCCACATCTGAAGAAAGCAGGCTTAAAATCGAGGCCAATTTAGAAAAGCACTAGAGAGAGGGGGCATATCATGTGAGCTGCAGGAGCCAGCACACCAGAGCCATTGTCCCTGGGTTTTTCCGTAAGATGTTGTCACATAGGATGTGCGGGAGGTGGATCCACAGCTTTGAGAGTTAACTAGACTTCCATCCCTGCTTTAGAGACTGGTAAGGGGACTGGATCTGGCATGTGGGCTACTGTGCCTGCCACAGTGTCCTTAAGAAATAACTACCAAAGAGAGTCACACGACTTTCCAATGGTACCAATGGCATGTTAAGGATTCAGTTTCTGCCTGGAGCTTAGTTAACAGCTGGGTTTTAATTTTAATTTATTTTGGTCAGTTTTGGAGCTTGAACTCAGAGCCTGGGCTCTGTCCTGACCTTTTTTGCTCAAGGCTAGCGCTCCACCACTTTGAGCCACTTCCAGTTTTCTGGTGGTTCATTGGAGATAAATGTCTCACAGATGTTCCTGCCCGGGCTGGCTTTGAACCATGCTTCTCAGATCTCAGTCTCCTGAGTAGCTAAGATGACAGGCGTGAGCCACCAGTGTCCAGCATTTTGCTTTGTTCTTTCTTGATCAGATCAGACAAGGATCCCTGCCTTTCTTAGGTGTCCTTGTGAGCAGCTTTAAAGATACCACATGTACTGAGTGGCTCTGCCTCACCAATCCTGTGCCAATGGGAATTAGTTCTTGGTTAATTTGCCTCCCTTCCTCCCACAACAACACCTGAGCAATCAGTGTACCTGCTGGATTCAAGCTTCAAGAAATTCCTGAACATCTCTTTACATAGGTCAAGACCAGATGAAAACAGATGTGATTTGCAGAGCTCTTTCTAATGTGCTAAGCATGTTCTGTGCATGTCATTTACCTGTGGGGTGTGTGTGTGTGTGTGTGTGTGTGTGTGTGTGTGTGTGTGTGTGTGTGTGTGTGTTTGCTGGTATTGAGTCTTGGACTCAGGGCCTCATCCTCTCCCTTAGCTTTTTCTTTTCTTTTCTATCAGCCTGGGTGCTGTCCCTGAATGGTAGCTTTGCTCAAGGCGAGTGCTCTGCCACTTTGAGTTCACCTTCTGGTTTTCAGGTGGTTAACTGGAGATAAGAGTCTCACAAACTTTCCTGCCTGGGCTGGCTTTGACCCATGATCCTCAGATCTCAGCCTCTTGAGTAGCTAAGATTACAGGTGTAAACCACCAGCACCCTGCTCCCTTAGCTTTTTTAAATCAAGGCTGGTGCTCTACCACATGGGCCATACCTCCACGTCTAGCTTTTTGCTGGAGATAAAAATCTCAGGTAGTGGTTTAGGACCACTACCCTCAGAGCTAGCTAGGATTACAGGTATGAGGCATCAGTGCACCTGGCTTTACCACTTTGGAGTTGTTGGGGTTTTTTTTTTTTTTTTCTTTCATTTGTTTGTTTGAGACAGAGTCTCACTATGTGGCTCAGCTTAGCCCCAAACTCCTGACCCCCAACTTGGAGGGAAAGACAGGGCACTGAAGGTCACGCTCATGCCAGCCCAAGGATTTAACTGGAACAACCTGGTGGGAGGGGACCCCAACATTCACCCTGGCGCTGTCTCCTTGCTGGATTTCCTCCTTGAGCTTTGAGAACTACCGTTGATAATTTCCAGACCTTTCTCAGCGCAGGCCTCCCAGTCTCTCTCCACCATCTGACCACATCCCTCTCCCCAGTCCCCGAGAGGGAGACCAGACACGTGGCTAGGAAGCTTCAAAACGGCCTTCCCAAAATATCCGAGGGACTGGCAGATGGAGATGCTGGATGCAGGCGCGGGAGGGGAGAGAAGCAGAAATCAAATGAAAGCTGCCAGAGCGCGCAGAAAGCGTGTTGGAGGGCAGGGTGGGGCTGGAAGTGTTTCCTGCCTCCTCTCCTCCCTGTCTGCAGATCATGCTCTGAATTGCAGCAGGCCACTGCGCCTGCTGTCCGTCCACCCATCCGTGCCGCAGGTGTCCACCGAACTCCTACCTCCCTGGGTAGGTTAGGACAGCCCACTGCACGTGCTAGATCAGGAACTCCCAGCATCTGGCCGCATCTGGCCACTCTGGAGAGCACCCAGAGTCCCCCGATCTCCCCCCCCACACACACACACACTTGGAATGCCACTCATTGTGACACCCAAGTGCCACAGGACTAACTGCCAGGCTGGCATCTCCAAAGCCTGATGGGAAACTCACTGAAATGAAAGCCACAGCCAGCTGGTCTCAGCAGCTTGCCAAATCAAATGAAGGGTGCAAACACACACACACACACACACACACACACACACACACACACACACCTCCTTAGCCACAATGCCCATGGAAACTCAGCCTCTTCTTCTGCCCCATCCCCTGCCTCCCTCCCTCCTGTGGGGAGGGCTAATGAGAGAGACAGAGACAGAGACAGAGAGACAGAGAGACAGCGATGGCTCATTTGTTTGGAGGTGAATTTCCAAACAGATACTCACAGCCAGGGAGGCGTCTGGGCAGGGAAAGGTCCCAGGATTTCAACTTCATCCTCGTTGGACTGGCAGCAGCTGGATTCGTAACATTTCTGACAGCAAAGCCGCCAGGTCCATCTGCACAGCAGCACATCAGAGATTCTAGAAAGAAAACCCTGAGGCCAGGGGGGCAAGGAGGCGGGCGAGGAGGAGGAGGAAGAGGAGGAACAACATCCCAAATTACAAGCAGCCCGTGTCTCTCCCAGGACACAGTCATTCAGAGTTCTGTCCCTGTGAGTGAACGTTCAGGACAACATACATCCCGTGTCTATTTACCCACGAGGCTGGCAAACAAGAGCACCCAGCAAAAGTATTTGCAGGTCTCTCTCTCTCTCTCTCTCTCTCTCTCTCTCTCTCTCTCTCTCTCTCTCTCTCTCTCTCGTTTATATGAATTCCTTTTCTTGCCACGTGGTTGGTTCTACACAACATCAGGAGAGCTAGACAATATGTTCTCCAAGCAGAATGCCTGAGACTCTCCTCTTGCAAGCAGAGAAGAGATATTTTCCAGAAATCGAGTCATCTGGGAAGCAGGGAGGAGGGCATGAAACTACATTGGCCATTGGGGTGCGGGTGGGGAAACCAAAAAAGTTGCTAATGTCCCTTTTACCCGGCTCTCTTTTCAGGAGAAAGGACCAGAAACGGTGTCTTGCCAACATCCGATAATTCTGGTTTCGGTCCCCAGTCCCACAGACTCCACACAACCCGTCTCCAGAATAAAAGGTTCCGGATTAGAACTCAGACCCAAGCCTCAGCACAGTGACCCACCTCGTTTAATGGTTCCAACTGCCCTTTGATATATCCATGATGAAAGCCAAAGGAGGAGGTAAAGAGAGGAGAGAGAGAGAGAGAGAGAGAGAGAGAGAGAGAGAGAGAGAGAGAGAGAACCTGTTTAGCATTATTCCAGCAACTCAAAAACCAAAACACAACAAATCACAAAACACAAGCATGGCTTCCCCTTCACACTCACCATCCTGGGCCAGGAGCGAACTTGCTAACCTGCTATGGCTATTCTCAGCTCTGCTAGGAGCCTCTGCCTTAGCTAACAGGGAATGCAAGGGAAACTCTAGCATTTCGATTCGATTTGCACTGTGCCTGCTATGATGAATCAAAGCGGGTGGAAAGAGTCATGCTATCCAATACAGCCACGCTGCACGGCGGGGAATCAAACCCTTCCTAATGCAGAAATAACCAGGAAACCAACCCGAAGGACACGATCAGCTACCACGCAGGCAGGCTCCCCGCCCTCCCCAGGGCCGGCTTCCAATCCAGCGTCAGGGATGGGGGGGGGGGGAGTTTCCTATGGCCACCCACTAATGGGGGGGGTGTGTTGGAAAGAAAGCCATGAGTTCTTCTTTTGGTCCCGCCCCATCTTTTTTCCTCCTAGGTTCAAAGCTCTACCTTCTCTCCTCCTTTTCCAGCTGGTTCTTCCAAAGAGTCAAATAAACCAGGCAGGTTTGGAGTTCTGTAGCCCAGAGATGAACGGAGGAGGGGAAAGTGTGTGTGTGTGTGTGTGTGTGTGTGTGTGTGTGTGTTCTCTCCCAGATCTTTTATAAGGATGTCAATATCTTTCTGACACTTGTTCATTCTCCATCCTTCCTTGCAAACAAAGGAAGCAAAGGCCAGCTCAGAACCCTGCAGTAGCCCAGTCCAGCTGGAATTTAATAATGTGACATTACTCTCCTTCTGTTTATCTTTCCAGCTGCCTTCTGGGTCTGTCATGTGACCCTGGTTTTCTCTTACAGCCATAACACACATGTTAACTTTGCATATGACTTCTTTAAGTTAAAAAATATATGAATGAATCCACTTATTATAGGGAAAAAATTTAAGTTAGCATGTGTAGTGGCTCACATCTGTAATCCCAGCCACCTGGGAGGCAGAGAGGGGGAGGAGCAGGGTTCAAGGCTAGTCCAGATAAGACTCCCATCTCAACCAATAAGCTGGTCATGCTGGTAAGTATCTATAGCCCCAGATAAACTGGAATCTGTAGGTAAGAGGGTCTCAATCCAAGGCTGCTCTGGGCAAAAATAAAAGACTCAACTAAAGAAAAAAAATAACATAAAGCCAAAAGGGACTAGAGGTATGGCTCAAGTGGCAGAGAATTTGTCTAGCAAACGAAAGGCTCTGAGTTTAGACCCCCAAAATTACCAAAGAGTGAATAAAAGAAAAAAAAGTACTAACACTAAAATTCAAAATCCTTGTAGTGACATGAATTATTGCAGCCTGGGAAACAGAAAAAGGCACTAAGCACAAACACTTTCAAAATCCAAAGCCAATCCACACAGAGAACAGAATCTGGAGGACCCAGTAGACCCTGCTAGACATCTGGAATCATCCTGGCAGATGCAGCTGTGCCCTGTCTGCTGAACGCTGGGTCTTTCCGAGTCTTTCAGCAAATTGAAAAAAAAAAAAAAAAGTCTGAAATGTTTGACAGAGGCTGGGTGTGGTGGTCCATGCCTGTAGTTCCAGCTGCTTAGAGGCAGAGGTTGGAGGACTAGGATCCAAAGTTGAGTTGGGTAAAAGTGAAGAGACCTTATCTGAAAAAGCCACTAAAAGCAACAAGGGCTAGAGGTGTAAATTAGGTGACAGAGCCATGGCCTAATAAGTACCAGGGTCCTGAGTTCAAATTCCAGGCTCCACTAAGGGTTTAAAGAAAAAAAACAAGTTTGATATAAAGGGCTTCTTCCGACAAGACCCCAGGCACGTTCTCTCAGTTTAAGGGGTAGAGTATTCCCTGGACATGGGGCGGTCAAAGAGAATCATTTACAAAGCTATGGAGAACAACACACCCTGCTCGGGTACCTAGGTGTGGGAGCAAAGAGAACCAGGAAGAGGACCCAAGGGGGCAGGAAGATGCTCTGAGGGCACCGGCTTGCAGAGCCCTTCCTCACATCGGACCCTCTGAGTTCATAGGTTTGAGACCCATAGGGCACGCTAGAAGATAAAATGCCAACGATAAGTAAGGCTTGTGGACCAAACCCAGCCCCGAACCTGCTCCTACACAGCCCACCAGCTAGGAGTGACTGGTGTACTTTTAAGTGGTTGACAAGAAGCAACCAAAAGGTTAGTTAATTCCTCCACAGCATCATGAAGGCTTCTTGACATGTTCTCAAAACACAAAGCGTAGACTATAAAAGTCAAACTTCGGAAGTGGCGCTGTGGCTCAAGTGGTAGAGCGCTCGCCTTGAGCTGAAGAGCTGAGGGACAGCGCCCAGGCCCAGAGTTCAAGCTCCAAGACTGACAAAAAAAATATACAGAAAAGTCAAACTTCATGTTCACAACAAATGTTATTGGAACACAGCCACGCTGACTCCATCACCAATGGCTGCCTTAGTAATACAATCAGGGACCCTGTGGATCTTGAAGGGGAAATATATATATATTCATACACATGTATATATATATTCATATACGTGTATATATATTCATATATATATATGTATATATATATATATATACACACACACACACACACACACACAAGATCTGGAACTTTCCTGAAAAAGTTCAGCCACTTGTTCTAGAAGGAAAGTCAGGATCACGGAGCCATTCACCTATGAGATGCTTAATGATGCACCCCCACACCCTCCACTCTGCATTCGAGATCTCACCTGTGCCTCTAAGCAGCTGTGTGGCCTTGGGCAAATCATTCCGTATCTCTGTATTAAAAACAGTTGTCAAGAACCATAGAATCAAGCCAAGCACCAGTGGCTCACGCCTGTAATCCTGGCTACTCAGGAGGCTGAGATCTGAGGATCACAGTTCAAAGCCAGCCCGGGCAGGAAAGTCTGTGAAACTCTTATCTCCAATAAACTCTTATCTCTCGCCTTGAGCTGAAGAGCTGAGGGACAGTGCCCAGGCCCAGAGTTCAAGCCCCATGGCCGACAAAAAAAAAAAAAAGAACCATAGAATCCCTGAGTTCGGTTCTTCAGCACCACATAAGCAGAAAAAAGCCAAAGTAGATTCAGTCAGGCACCGGTGGCTCACATCTGTAAACCTGGGTGAGATCTGAGGACCACCTGGGCACAAAAGCACAAGAGATGCTTATCTCTGATGAACCAGCAAAAAGCTGGAAGTAGAGGAGCATGGGGCTCAGGCTGCAGAATGCCGGCCTTAAGTGAAAAAGCCAAGCATAACCACAAGGGCCCTGAGTTCAAACCCCAGAACCAGTACAAAAGAGAAAAGCAGAAAGAATAGATACCACTTGTAACGTTCCTTGCCTCTGTGTGTGTGTGTGTGTGTGTGTGTGTGTGTGTGTGTGTGTGTGTGTGGTCAGAGGGGCAGGGATTCCCAGTGGTGTCTCACACACACACACACACACACACACACACACACACACACACACACACAGTGGCCACCAAATGTTTATTGGGGATTATTCAAGAATACCCCCCCCCTCCACTTTCCACCACAGCATGCAGTAGATGCACAGCAAATGTGACCTTCATTGAACTTGAAAGGAGGACCTGGGGAATCCCGTGAAAGGGAAACCGAGCCAGAAAATCCAAGCCAGGAGAGATGGGTGAGGCTGTGCCAGCGAGAGACCATAGAGTTCCGGGCTGCTGCCAGCCAGAGGACAAGGCAAGCCCCCACCCACCCAGTGAGCCCCCCCAGCTGTGACCGAGGGGACAAGCTGTGGGAGTCCCGGCCCGGGGGTGGGGTGGAGGGGGGGCTGTGGGGTTCACCGCAGCTCCACGGGCGGGCGTGTCTGCGGGTCTCACTCCATGACCTTGGTGCTGACCTGTCTCCACTTCCCTCCCTGCGGGAGAAAACGTCCCTTTCTCCAAGCACCCATCCCGCCCTCAGCCCCCACCGCACCCCCCCCCCAATAAAACAACCCGGGGTGCTAGGAAGTTAATTCACGATGAAGATTCTTGGGGGAGCTTGGAGAATCGGTAAGAGGGGAGTGTCCCCAACTTCCAGAACCCCCTACGCAAAGGAATAAGTGACGGGCCCGGCCATCCAGTGCGCTCAGGTCTCTGTGCCCCCCCCCACACGCCCTCACCCCACAATACACATCCTCCACGCCCAGCGCCCCACGGACGCGCCCCATCCTTGTCCCTCCCCGGCCGGCGGGAGCCCAGGCCTCGGGCTCGCTCCACCGGCCGCTTAGCCGGAGCCGTCACCACGGCAACCGCAGCTGGCGCGCCCCGCGGCCCCTCCCCGGGGTGGGGTGCGGGGTGAGGGGGACCCGAGGTGGTGGGGGGAGCCCGCCCACCCCACCCCGCCCCGGGAAGGGGACATCGGCGCAGAGCCCCCGGGCTTCGCGGGGGAGGATGGGGGGGGATCGGTCCCCTGCCTCTCCTCCTCCCGGGGCGCACCCCGAGCCTGCCTGCCACCCAGCACCCTCGTCCTCCCCGCAAGTTCGTGGGAGCCGGGCCGTGCGCGCCCCTCCCGTGCGCGCACCCGGGGTGAAGGGCCGCGCCCCCCGCCCCCCGGGCCTCGCCCCCCGAGCCCCAGCCCTACCTGGATGTACGCCATCTTCGCCCGCGCGCTCACTCCGGCCCGGGCATGGCGCCGCCGCCGCGGCCACTTTGCCCTCGCCGGCCGGGGAGGGGGCAGCCGGCGCGGGGGGCAGGAAGCCGAGGACAGCCGGGCGGTCCCAGACGTGACCGGCGTGGCGGATGAGCGGCGCCCGCCCCCCTGCCGGCCGCCCCGTCCTGGCCTGGCCCTGCGCGCCCGCGGCGGGAATCGGGGCTGCGTCCTCCCCGCCCCCGCCCGGATCGCACAGCGGGGCTGCCCGGGGTCTCCGCCTCGGCCTATCCCTCGGGGTCGCACCCCAACGCCAGGGTGCTCCCCGGGCTGGAAGAAGGCCCGGGCGCCTGGGCAGATCGCCCGGGGCAGCCGCGGGGACGGCGGCGACGCTGGGGCCCGGGCGCGCGGCGGGCGGGCGGGGAGGGGACTGGGGCCGGGGAAGCGGGGTGGGCGGGGGCGGCGCTCGGGTCAGCCCAGCCGGCTGGTACCGGGGCGGACACCCGGCCGGCCGCAGAGCCCCGGGGACGGCCGTGCAGACAAGGGGCGCCCGGCCCGGCCGGTCGTGGTGATGGGGGTGGGGGAGACCGGAGCTGGGAGGGTCCTGGCCGGCCAGCCCTTGTCCCCAGAACGCCTTGGAAAAACTTTGTTCCTGCCCCACCCCCATCCATTGCGCCTAAGACGGTGGCGACCACAGTGTGCCGAGGCTGGAAGATGGGCGGCGCCGAGTTAAGGTGGGTTTAAGGCACTCGGAGTGGGGACTGCGAACGCGGCGTGGGGAGGGGCACAAGGGCGCGCACCACACAACGCCCCTCTTTACTCTGCACCTGCCGGAGTTGCGCCCTGGATGCAACAGGTCCAGCGCGGGGCGACCCGGCAGCGCCACCCAGCGTCGCGCGCGGAGAGTGCGCGCCTGCCCCGGAGCGTGCGCCCTGGGGCGTGTCCGCCGCGGGCGCGTCCACCTTGGGGCGTGCCCACATCTGGGGGACTCCATCTCCCAGCCCTCAAGTCTCCAGCCCAAGGCCACGGAGCACGGTGTGGCTCTCGGCTGCAGGATGGAAGAAGGATCCGGGTGGAACGTGGCCCGCCCCTGGTTTCTTTCTAAATAAATGCTCAGCGTCCCTGGTTGCTTGGTGGCCAGCTTACCAGGGTGATGATGTGAGCCCCCAAAATCTCCTCTTTTTATCTCTAAAGACGAAATCAGGTCTCTGTCTTGCCGAATTTCCAGCGCTGTTGGGGGAAGAGATGAATGTCGGGGGGGGGGGGGGGGGGGGGAGATGTAATTCATACAAAGTGTAGTGTGTGTGTGTGTGTGTGTGTGTGTGCTAGAACTCAGGGTCTGGGTGTTGTCCCTTTGCTTTTTTACTTGAGCCAGAGTCCCACTTCTGACTTTTGGCTGGTTATTCTCAGATAAGAATCACACAGCTGGGCGCTGGTGGCTCATGCCTGTAATCCTAGCTACTCAGGAGGCTGAGATCTGAGGATCGCGGTTCAAAGCCAGCCCGGGCAGGAGAGACCGTGTCAGACTTGAGCTGAGGAGCTGAGGGACAGTGCCCAGGCCCAGAGTTCAAGCCACACAGCCGACCAAAAAAAAAAAAAAAAAGAATCACACAGATTTGTTTTTCTTAGCTGGTGCTGAACCTCGATCCTCGGATCTCAGCCTCTTGAGCAGCTAGGTTTATGCATTGTTTTATGGTTTGTGCATCAAAGGACTTCATTTTAAGCCTTATAGAGACTTCTGAGATCCTGATTATGACACATGTGGACCACACCTGGAGGTCCCAGCCCTCTGCTTGAGTAGGCCCGGACAGGTGTCTGGATGTGTGGGTCTCAGCCAGGATGGGGAGTGAAGGGGGAGGGGGTTAAGGAGGAAGGACCACACAGACAGTGAGAGAAACACAACAAACTCACAAGGTGGGACCATCATACATCCTGGTAGAGATGGATGGTTTGGAGTTCTGTCTCTCCTAGGAAAGAATGACACTTGGAGCTGATGATCAGGGAATGTGGCCTGGGCTCCCTCCTGTGATGCTTCTCTCTCGAACAGAGTCAGCCACCTCTCTTTCAGCTCCTAGTCCTGGGTGGCAGACACAGGCACATAATAATGGTCTTCAGACAGTCGTTAGAGGTAGAAATGGGAACCCAGAATGCCAATTAAACCTTACTATTCCAATTGTAATTAAAAAGCGCCAGGATGGCAAGAAACACTACTGGCTCCTCTATGGGCAGCAAGACTCTCCAAGGTGACTGTCTATTTGTGCCATTCTGGCTGAGGGCACTGTCCTCTACGTCACTAGTAATTATCTACCCCAGTCCATGCTATTTGGGTCCCAGTTTTGGAACCCTGGGCTATCAATCAGGATGTCAGGGCAACCCTCAGGCTAATGAAATAGCTAGTTGGAAATAAGAGGGGTGGCAGGATCTTCAGTGTGACCCCAGAGTCCAAGCTACCCTGAACAGGCGTCTGACTCTCTCCTCTCCATCCTCCTTATCTGGGGAGCAATAATAGCTTCATGGCAGGAGATCTGGATTTCTAGTCCTTTGCCACCTGTGAGCCTCAGTTTCCCTTATATATACAATGGATGCCCTTCCTAGGGGAGGGACTAGAGATGGGTAGAATGCAAGAACAGAGTATGCAAGGGTCCACATCACAATGACAATATCAATACAGTTCCAAGGGACGAGCAATGTGCTTTAATAAACCTTCTAGAAGCTTCTGATCCAGCTAACATGAGAACTGCTGCGGTACACACACACACACACACTTCACAGTGCATTAGTCACTTGTGGATGGATACCATTTGCAGCCGGGCCTCACATCTCACATTTTTAGTAAGTGCTACGTGGTGCTGTTCTCTGTCCTTTCCCAGGAAGTCCACTGTGCTTCCCTGCTGAATTTGTCTCCATAGTCCCATGTGACCTATGTGACATTTTTTGTTGTCCTGGCTGGTGGTCTATCTCCCCACCTAGGAGTAAACTCCAAGATCATGGGAAGGCTTTATCTATTTCATTCACAAGTGTGTCCTCAAGACCTAAGCCAGTGCCCAGAATGAAGAAACATCACTCGGTAATATTATTGAATGTGAATGGATGAATGAATGAACACATTATAAATGAATGAATGCCGCTGACAGTCTCCCTCCACACGTGGGCAAGCATCCCTCATGGGCGTCAACTTTACATTTTCACACATCCTTCTACATCCGGCCAAGGAAGGGTCACTGGTCCACTCCTCCAGCCTTAGGTGCTGTCCTTCCTCGTTCAGGGCACCATGGGAAATCTACACGGATCCTGAGGTCTCCTATAACGACTTTGTCTTCTCAGAGGAAGATGGTGGTCCTAACCCTCTCTTGAGCCACTGGCTTTCAAGCAAGGTTTGCTGAGAGCTATGTGTGTTTTCAGGAAAGAGCCTGCATCTCTGTGTTGAGGAGGAAGGCCACAGGGTCTAAAGACCCAATGACTCACAGTTTGACTTATTTGCAGATGTTGACAGCAAAATGGAAACAGCCCAAATGTCCATGGACAGATGAAGGTTAAACGAAATTTGGCATGACTGAGTGTGGAACACTTTTCTGCAAAACTATTAATATCCTACAACACGGGTGACCTCACATGCATTGTACTAAGGGAAAGAAACAAGACAAAGAAGACCCCATGTTATGATTCTGTTCAGATGAAGCATCAGAAGTAGAAACACTATAGAGTTGGACGGAGGCTGACAAGTGTCCTAAGCTGAGGGTTCAGGATGGGGGACAATGCACAGACATAGAAGATTTGGTGTGGGTGGGTGGGTAATGAAAATGTCCTAGAACTGTGTTATAGTGGTGTTTTCATGACTCTGAAGTACTAGGAAATCATTCAATTGTACACTTAAAATGTTGTTATACACATTTTACATCAATAAAGCTGCTTTAAAAAAAAAAAAAAAGTAAGCTCACGCCTGTAATCATATTTATGCAGGAGGCTGAGATCTGAGGATCTACATTCAAAGCCAGCCCAGGCAGGAAAGTCTGGGAGACTCTTGTCTCCAATTAACCACCAGAAAACCAGAAGTGGCGCTGTGGCTCAAGTGGTAGAGTGCTCGCCTTGAGCTGAAGAGCTGAGGGACAGTGCTCACGCCCAGAGTTCAAGCCCCACGAGGGACCAAAACAAACAAACAAATAAATAAGTAGAGGCTGGGAATGTGACTTAGTGGTAAAACTGCCTAGCATGTATGAAGCCCTGGGTTCAATTCCTCAGTACCACATAAACAGAAAAAAAGCCAGAAGGGGGTGCTGTAGCTCAAGTGGTAGAGCACTAGCCTTGAGCAAAAAAATCTCAGACCCTAAGTTCAAGCTCCAGAAATGGCCAAAAATATAATAATAATAATAATAATAATAAGAAGAAGAAGAAGAAGAAGAAGAAGAAGAGGCCAAAGAGCAGATGGCTCACCTTGTAATCCCAGCTACTCAGGAAGCTGAGATTTGAGGATCAAAGTTCAAAGCCAGCCTGAGTATAAAAGCCTGTGAGACTCTTATGTCCAACTAAGTGCGTGCGCACACACACACACACACACACACACACACACACACACACACACACATGCCAGAAGTGGATCTGTGGCTCAAGTCCTAGCGTGCTAGCTTTGAGTAGTAAAGCTCAGGAGCAGTACTCAGGCCCTGAGCTCAAGCCCCAGGACTGGCAAAAAGAAAAATAAGAAGAGGGCCAGCTTAACAAGTGAAGACTCTGACTTCAAATCCCAGCATTGCCCTCCTGTGTTCCCCTCCCCGCCCCTCCCATACCCTAAAAGACTTTGTTAAAAGTGCTTTTAGCTCCATGTGTCAAGGGCCTCTTGTCACATTTTGCTAGAGAATTCTGTTTCCTCTCTTGTTAAAGATCTGATGAAAAGTCGATGAAAATCTGCCATCAGCATCCCAAATAATATCAAGCATGTACTAAATAAATTAGTGTACTAAATTGGTCTGCTTTTTATTTTCCCCTGACGAAAGCAATAAAAGGGTCATAGCATTCCGACCTTTTGAGCCAGCTTTCTGGTGGTGTTCACAGAACCTCTGCTGTCTGACCTTGTCCCTGACCA